CGAGATCCTCGGGTCCTCAGCCTAGCCTCCTTCGTTATGGCGGGACAGCTCCGGGGAGCCGCTCGCATTCTAGGCAGCTGGAGGAGCTATTGCTCGAAGGGGCAGCAGGTAATGGCCAACAGCTTGGCAGGGGACCCCGCGACCGTCATGACGAGTGGAGAGGCCGGGCTCCCCTCCTTCCCACAACGACCTCTCAGCCCCTTAGGCAGCTTCTCTTGACCTTGGGGGGTTACCCAGGGATCCTCTCGAAGCGGGGGTGGGGAGAGAAAACTGCAAAGATTTAAAGTCCTCCTCTTCCACACTGGCATTGCCAGCCTACCCTGGGGCTCCCTGGTGACACTAGCTTGTGAGCACTGTAGCCCAGTGGAGGGGGTACCTTAGCTAGATTCACTGGAAGGAACATGGAGTAAGGGCTGGGAAAGTAGAGTTCCATTGGCTTAAGGTTTCATTGACCTGTTTAAATGCGCTCTGGAGAGTCAGGTGTCAGCTGACTGTCGTTAATGTGCCATGGGCATTGGGCAATCAAACCTGGTCTCTGAGCCTCAGTTATGACATGTGATGGGCAAAGGTGCATTTCAACTTGAATGAATCAGAACTCTCGGGGCTGCCATTTTTCTATTCATAAAACAGGGGAATGGACAAATTGATCTCTGAGGTCCGTTCTAAGTCTGACCTTCTTTTAGTCACTGAATTCTTTACTTCTTAAGTTAGGCAGAGCCTGTCACTTAAGCTATGTCCACGTAAAGGACATTGGGCCTCATTTTGTATAACAGTTCTGAAAAACTGCACACACTAGTATCCTGTTCTGTCAATAGATTTTATCTTCAATACCCCTCTGCTAACACAGTTGGGGGGATGTCAGGATGGGCCTTTTTTAAGTTTTTAAATTGACAAATTTTTAACACAGGGCAGGGATGGGGAACGTTGGGCCCCAGGTTCCCCACCCGGATAGGGTATGAACCCCAACAAACTCACAGTGGAACCCTCTCCAGCACAATTCCCCTCAAAAACAAAGTGAAACAACATAGAAAAGTTTTCTTGCAACTGATAAAACCTATTTTACATGTTAGAAAGTTTTTTTAATAAAAAAGAAAGAAAAGTATGTACTTTAATAAGCTTTTTCTTTTTAAAATTACATTTTATTTTTGTCAATTAACAAATATCTATTTTCCCCAACACCCCCTTATGTAAGCTCCTTGAAGGTAGATGTTATTTCATTTTCATCTTTTTATCCCCAGGGCCTAGCTCAGTGCTGACACATAGTAGGTACTTAATAAATGTTTGCTGATTGTCTGATTGATTATCTTCCCCTAAGAGTTCAGATGTGCCAGAACCCTGAAATACTGCCCCGTTGTGATCCTTGCAGGAGAAAGTCAGTGCAGATTTTGTGGAGGCGCTGAAGGCAGTGGTGGGGGAGCCCAATGTGTCCACAGCTGGTGTGGTGCTTGAACAGCACGGCCATGATGAATCTATGCACGGGTAGGTGGCAGGGCAGGGGGCAGGTGTGTCCTTGTGTCCTATGCTGCTGAGTCTGGCCACCTCAGCCTTAAACCCAGAAGACAGACGAGTCAGAGTGGCCACATGGCCAAGTAGAACGCTTGTTGCTGGCAATGAGAGCACTTGGGCTCTCTCCCTCATTGTCTGTCCTCCAGTTCCTTCTCTCTGGAGGCCTCTGCTTTCCCTTCCCCTCTTGATTTGTCCAGTATCTGGCTTTTCTGTACCTGTATCTAACCTTAAGAAGCTACCCTCTGCTTTAAACCAGACAGGTACCCTTGGGGATGTCAGTTCTTTCTGGGTCCTAGTTTGTCTGTAAAATAAGGGTTGGGATTAGGGGACTCAAACATTCTCAAATTCTTCTTAGTCTATGAGTCTGGTGCATTCCTCTACCCATTTTGATACGCCCTTCAGTGCTTGGCTTTGCTCTGGGTTTGATAGAAGAGGGACCTAAAGTTTCAGGAGTGGGGACCAAGTCTTCGGGTCCATTTCTGCCTGGTCTCTCCTGAAGCCCTTTCCCTGGAGAGCCTCGCTTCTGGCACTTGGATGGAGACAACGTTCAGCATGCCGGGGAAGTTTGCTGCTTGGTCTCCTACTCCAGGAATATTCTCTTTGGCTCCTAGACCTTAGCATAGAGATTACCCTTTGAGTACTGCCTACTGCCCACCATCTTGCAGTCTGAGGACCTGGTTGGCTCTCTTTTGGGCTGGGATCTGCCAGCCTCCTTCAGTCTTGTCTCTTCTGGCAGGTGCAGCCCCCCAGATGCCGTTGTCTGGCCCCAGAATGTGGAGCAGGTCAGCCGGCTGGCAGCATTGTGCTATAATCACAGAATCCCCATTATTCCCTTTGGCACTGGGACAGGGCTGGAAGGTGGCGTCAATGCTATAAAGGTATGGCCAGGGTCCTGAGGCTGGGTCTTTTTAAAGTAGGGTCACTTTCCCTCTCCATCTTTGACACTGTTGTCTCCTTACCTCCACCCAAATTCCTCCAGGTTCCCTTCCCCGATTTGGACCCTCTTATACAAAATCTGTCTCTCTCTCTCTCACCTCTGATTGAGTAAGGCAAGATGTTGACTCCACCCTTCGACATTTGCTACTTCCCAGCTCTATCCTTAACACCCCTCCTCCCTACTGAGTCTTTCTATTTCCTTCCCCACCCCACCCCCGAACGACGCACAGTGTCCTGGGAATCCTGGATAATTGGGCAGCACAAAATTCTAGGTGAAGGGTTACAGGGGTAATGGGTTAGTAGCTGTGCTGGTCAATGCTGACCCCACGGGAAAATGAGACTTAGAGACAAAGTGAAATTTAGGAGAGAGAGGCAGCATGTGCTGGCTTTGGAGTTAAGAAAATTTGAGGTCTGCCTCTGGTGCTAATTAGCTATGTTACCTGGACATGGTATAATGGAAAAAGAATTGATGTAGAAGCCGAGAAACCTGGGTTCAAATACTGCCTTTGGGCAAATCACTTCATCTCTCTTAAGATCCTGAATTGCATAAATGTGGTAGAGTTAAAAAAAAAAAAAGCGGGGAGGAGGGGAGGCAACTTTTAAAAAAGTTCATGAGTGCATCATGAATTCTTGTTTTTAAGCCAATTTTTATTGATCTTTAAATACACGCATATGTATGTATGTATATATGTATGTGTGTGTATTATATATATACATATATATATACATATATATATACACATATATATATATATATATATATAAAACCTACACTTCCCCTGTATCCCTTCCCCTCCCTGCTCCCAGAGAGCCATCCCTTTTAGCAAAGGAAAAAAAAATTAAAAGAAAAAACTCCAACAAAATGGATCACCCATCATGGATTCTTAAGGGAAGCTTGGTATAATGGAGCACAACCCTGAGCTTCTCAAGTTGGGGTTAGAGAACACAACTTGTTCCCTCTATGCCTCTGCCCTTGGCCCTCCATCAGAAGCAGAACCTGAGGTGAAGGGGCAGCTGAAGGTCTTGGCATCCTAGAAACAATCATGTTCTCCCTTCTCAAAGAGTTTGTGCCCCTTGAGCTTGGATCTGCTGGGGGCACTCTCCTACCTTGCTTTAATCTGGGGCTTTTATTTCTAGGGTCCTCAGTGGGATTACCCCTTCCCTCCCCTTTCCTTTCTTCTTCCCTCATATTTCCTGGACCCTTACCTCTCAGCATCTATCAATCAATAAAGGTGTGTGTGGAGAGAGTCTGGCAAACTTCAAGGGTGTGTGTGTGTCTGGGGGGCAGATGGAGACCCTTCTGACCTCCTTCCCTTCCCTGTCTTCCCTTCCTTCTCTGACAGGGTGGCATCTGCTTTAACCTCACCCATATGGACCGTATCTTGGATCTGAATGTGGATGATTTTTCAGTGACTGTGGAGCCCGGGGTCACCCATAAAGCCCTCAATTACTACCTGAGGGATACTGGTCTCTGGTTTCCAGTGGGTATGACTTAGGGGACAGGCTCAAACTCTGGGGTATTTCCTCTTGTTCCAGGAATACCACAGAGTTTCCTTCCCTTCCTTCCCAGGGAACTGACCTCTATAGTGGCTCTGGAGAGGGTCCCTGCAGGTGTTTTAGGGAGGATGGCTGGGCTTAGCCTGTAGTTTCTGGCTTCTTTCCTCACCCTGACCATAAATGCCTATGCTTCAAGGCTGGGCCACTTTCTCCCAGACTGTCTGGTCCCATTCTCAGGACATCAGACACGTGGACATGGCTCGTCACCTGCTGCCCATTCCCCCAAAGCCAAGGGGTTGGTTTCCCCCTGAGACCTCTTGGGAGCTCCATACTTTCTCCCAATTTGGCTCCTTTCCCCATGTACTCTTTCTTCCCAGATCCAGGAGCTGATGCCTCCCTCTGTGGTATGGCAGCTACTGGGGCCTCAGGTACCAATGCGGTTCGGTATGGCACCATGTTGGAAAATGTTGTCAACTTGGAAGTTGTGTTGGCAGATGGGCAGATCCTTCACACGGCAGGTCGAGGGCGCCGATTCCAGTGAGTTGGGTTGTGGTGGTAGTGAGGGATATTGAGAGTTAGGGTCAGGAACTTTAGCAACCCAGGTACCAACCAGCCCTCGGGGGCCGGTAGGCAGATGGAATCTGTTGAGGCACGAACCCCGTCTTGCCCATTTTTTGGATCGGGCACGTTCGTGAAGGGTAAAATAATACAGATTAACCAAAGCAGCAGATAAACCAGAAACCATTCCTCAGCTGATTTCTTGGAAAACATTCTATTCCTTTCTTTTTCATCCTTGGCCAGATTTATCCTTTTTTATGGTTGGCATGGCCCCATATTTTGAAAAAAATATCAAAATATTGATATCAATATTTTATATCACCTATATTTCCCAATACGTCCCCTCTCTGGGAACCATCCCTTATAATAAAAGAGGAAACCCCACCCCCCTCCAGTTCAGCAAAACTTACCATATATTTTTAAAAAGCATGACACTCTATGTAGTGTTGTCCCCTGGGAAGGGCTGTGCCTTCTCCCGTCCCTTCTTTGGGGACGGGCTTGGTCATTCCCACTTGCTGCTCAGTTCCTATTGTTTTATTGCTAATCCTCCCACTTACACTGCTGTAGCCATTCTGTATTTGGCCTCAGATGGTCTCCAGTTGTGACTGAGTACCATCTGGTCTACTGGAAGGGTCCTTGTACTAGGTGCCAGGAGACTTGAGTTCGAGTTACAGCTCTCTTACTGTGTAGCTGTTTGACTCTGAGCAAGAGACCTCCTCTCTCTGAGCCTGTTTCCTCATCAGTAAAATGAAGGAGTTGGAGGAAACGATCTCATTTGACCCTTGGACGGTGATCCACTTGAGTTCTCTAGACCTTGGTCCCAGCCACTGGGAAATAGAGATGGCGTCATTGAAGGCTTAAGTAGGTCAGGCCGAGGCTCCCAGATTGCCACCGGGTTAGGCACCTAGATTGCCACCTAGGGCTGTGCAGAGCTCATCCCTGATTCCTGAGGAAGGGAGCACAATATGTTGGAAAGAGTGCTGGATTTGGAGGTGGAGGGTCTGGGTTCAAATCCTGGTTGTGACTGGGCAGATTACTTCTATGTGTCTTTATTTTGTAAAATGAGGGGGTTGGACAGATGGCTTCTGAGGTCCCTTCTAGCTTGAAATCTACGTTCCTATGAGCCTGTGTCACGTGGGTACTACCTTGGAACTGACCCCAGTAACCATTCTTGTGTTCCCTGGGGGTTCAGGAAGAGCTCAGCTGGCTACAATCTGACAGAATTGTTTGTTGGCTCAGAGGGGACCCTGGGCCTCATCACCACAGCAACACTTCGACTGCATGGCATCCCCGAGGCCACCATAGCTGCAGTCTGTGCTTTCCCTAGCATCCAGGCTGCCGTGGATAGCACTGTGCAGATAATCCAGAGTGGATTGCCTGTGGCACGCATTGGTAAGGGCTAGGGGCAGGAGGCCTGTTCAGTTGGAAGGAAGATGGGGGGGGTCCTCTGTCCCACTCCCACTCCTCATGGCTGGAGAGCTTTGAAAACATGGTGTCATTTGAAAAAATGGTGTCCATTGCTTAACACCTTGGATTAAGCCTCTTGGGGACCAAAGCCTGAGACCAGGGGCCACGACTCTGGGGAGAACCTAATTCCACCCTCAGGTGACAGCCAAAGAGCCCTGGACTAGGGATCAGGAAGACCTGGGCTTTAGTACCAGTGTGATCCTGGGCAAGTCACTTCCCCTCCAGGAGTCATTTTCCTCATCCCTTCCAGCTTCTCAGTGTATTGGAGAACATAACCTCACAGCTCCCTTGTTATTCCTTGCCCTGTTTTTTTTTTTTTTTTGGTGGGGAGGAAGAGGAGACTGTCTGTCTCACTCAGGATGTAGGAGCTGAGGTCTCTCGTGTGCCCTTTCCCATTACTGATCAACACAGGAACTTTAACCTGCTCCAATACTGCCCTGGGCTGCCTGGTAGCACCTCCCCCCTCTCCCAAGGGCTCACCATATTGGTGCCAGACTTACTATAGACCCCCAATTAATTTAGCCCAAAGCAGCTCAGAGTGATCCCCCAGCCTCAGCCTCCCCAGTAGCGGGGTTCACGGACACGTGTCACCATGTTTGGCCATCATTCTAATTTATATCACACATGAGCTACTTTGCACAATTTCATGTTGAATTTGGTTGATGGGGTGCCAAGAATACTGGGTGTGGAGTCAGAATACATGGGTTCAATTTCCGTGACCCTCGGCCAACCACATGTCTTCCGTGAGCATCGATCTTTTTGTTGATAAAATGAAGTGGTTGGCCTAGAATAGGGCTGTCTGGTGAAGCCAGGGGAGCCTTTCTCAGGACACTGTTTTTAAATGCATAAATTAAATGGAAGATCATAAAGGAAACCAATTATGTGGAAATAGTTCCCAGACCCCCTGAAATTTATCCTTAGACCCCAGCTGAAGAACTATTGGTCTAGATGCCTAGGTCTTTTCTACTCTATATAGTGCCTGGCTCATAGTAGTGAGTGATTTACTTAATTAATGAGTGATTAAATATGATAATCCCATGAGACGTACCCAACCAATCAATCAATGAGTCAACATTCATTAAGCAGGCACTACGTGCCAGGTACCGTGTTAAGTGCTGGAGGTGTATGGCTTGGTGGAAGGAGAGGTCATTGTGGGTGTGGGGGTGGGGGGTTCCTCTTTGCCATGCTCTGATCTTCCTGCCTCTTCTCCACCCCTCCTCCCGCTCCTCCCTCACCACCTCATCACCCATTCTCCAGAGTTCCTGGATGAGGTTATGGTGGATGCCTGCAATAAGTACAGTGGTCTGACCAACGCTGTGACTCCCACCCTCTTCTTGGAGTTCCATGGCTCCCAGCAAGCGCTGCAGGAGCAGGTGCAGAGGGCAGGTGAGGCTTCCTCAGGCTTTGGGGAGGAGAGGTGGTGTGCAAGGTGGGGAGTCCCATCCTCACAACCAGCCCCTGGGGAGGCCAGTCCAGTAGGCCTGCGGCTGCCTTGCCTCCCCTACAGAGGAGATCGTGCAGCAGAATGGAAGCTCCCATTTTGCATGGTCCAAGGATCCGGAGGAGCGGAGCCGGCTGTGGACAGCTCGCCACAATGCCTGGTATGCTGCCCTGGCTCTTAGGCCTGGCTGCAAGGTGAGCCGGGGCTGGGAGAAGGGACAAGTGGATGGGAGAAACAGGGCCCCCCTTTCCTCAAGCACTTAGAGGATGGGCAGATTCCCTTCTGCCCATGCTCCGAGCCCTTCCCCATCATTCCCCATCTAAGCTCCTTGAGGAGCCCCTTTTCCTGAGCTAGAGGAGGAAAGAGGGTAGAGCACATGTTGCCAGGGGGCAGCCACCGATGGGCCTGATGGGATCTGCATCCCTCACCCACTCAGGGTTACTCTACAGACGTCTGCGTCCCCATTTCACGGCTCCCAGAGATTATGGTGCAGGCCAAGAAGGACCTGAAAGCTTTTGGACTCACAGGTAACCTCCCCAACCCTCCTCCCTGCCCTCGTGTCTATTTCCCCAGGGTCTCGACCTCTCCCAGACCAGAAGAGAGGAGGTGGAGTTTGGGGGCAGGAAAGAGAGACTGAGTCGGAGAGGGTCAAGGGTTGGGGCATGAGTAGGGAATGTGTGTGGGGGGGGGCAGGACAGGCAGTGATGTCTGGCATCGGGCAGCCAGCTCTTTCTCCCTTCCTAGGATCCCTAGTTGGGCATGTTGGGGATGGAAACTTCCACTGCATCTTACTGGTCAACTCTGAGGATGCTGATGAACACCACCGAGCAACGCAGTTTGTGAAACAGCTGGGAAGGTGCGAGATTCAGCCGATTTCTCAGTCAGGAGGGCAGGTGGGGCGGGGGCGGGGGGGGATGCGGGGATCGGAGCAGGCATGCAGGAACCGCAGGCTCAGGGACTGTGGGGTTCAAAGGGCACATTCCCTGTCTGGGGAGAGACTCGGGTGGGCTAGATCCCGGACTGGGAGGAAGGAGGCAGCTGGCCCCTGTGCTCTTGGACCCCGGTGCCAATTCCCAGCTGAGTGGGCCTCCTCAAGCACAGAAGAAGCCACAAAAGCTTAAGACCCTCTCGAGAGGCTTCAGCCTGGTCCAGCCTGACTGCCTCCACTAAGGGCAGTGGCTCTTGGGCTGTGTACCCCAGGAATGCGTTGGCCATGAACGGGACCTGCACTGGGGAGCACGGCATCGGGCTGGGCAAACGCCAGCTACTGAAGGAGGAGATTGGCCCTGTGGGCATAGAGATAATGAGGCAGATCAAATCAGTCCTGGACACCAAGAACCTCATGAACCCTGGCAAAGTGCTGTGAGGGCCAGGCCCTTCTTCTGGACACGGAGCTGATCTCCTCGCCGGAATCAGGCTGTGGAGACGAGGCTAGAGATGAGAAGAAAGGCCAGAGCATCAGCAGCTGGGGTGGTGGGTGGTCCTGGGAGAGGGCACCTCAGAGAGATTTGGTGGGGTGGGCTGCATGGGGCAAAGACTTTGATGGAGGAGATGGCTAATCACCTTCTGCCTGGGCAAAAATCCCCAAAACACTGGTTTAGGTCGCCCCTAGGTGTCCTGGGAAAGCAAGACCACAGGGGTGGGCTTACAGCTTATTGATCTTAACTAGCTCAGCCTGGGCTATTTGTCTATTGTGATTTTTTTAAGTAAACATTTTAGAATTGCCCTTTTTAAGGCTCTCTCTCCTCTGTATTTCTCACCCAAGCTCATCAGCCTAAAAGCTGTGGGGAAGGCAAGATCCTCAGCTTTTTCCCCAGCTCAGGGTCCCAACCAAAAGCCTTCCCCTCCTCTTGTTCTTTGGCTTATGATAAAACACTAAAGTGACCTCATGAGGGAAAGGCTGGAGCAGTCAAGGTGGGGGGATGGTCTGGAGGCATTGCCGCCTGAGCTCCTGAGATCTCTGGAAAAGGAATCGTACCATCTTTGGTGCTGGAGGGTTATCTAACCTGACCTCCTGCCCCATACAGGAATTCCCTCTAGGATGTCCCTCACAGATAAGCATGCAGTTATCTTTGGCAGACCTCACTGGTGCATTGGTCAGGCCATCCCATCCATCTATTAGACACAGTTCTTCCTTGTGCCCAAATTTGCATCTCTCTGAAGTCCAGCTATCAGTCTCAGTTTTGCCAGAGCTGATCATCTTCTGCAACAGCCTTTGGAGAGCAACATTTACGTATCCCTCATTCTCTGTAAGTTCTTTCCCCCAATTCTCACAGGGCAGTTTCCGTATCAGTTGCCTTCTGTTGGACATGTCCCATTTTGTGAATGTTTTTCCAAAATATGACGCCCAGAGGGAAACATAATCTAAGAGTAGTCTGACCAGGTCAGTGGTCTAGCTATCAACTTTCTTGTTCTGAACATTATACTCAAATACAGCTTTAGCTTTGGGGGCTTATCAACACCCTACGACAGTCTTGTGGCCAGGATCATGGTAACACTAGATCCTTACTAAGCCTCTGTAGTTCCTACATGATTATTTTACCGAGGAAGGTCCTAGTGCCCGAGCAGTATAGCTAACGAGAATCCATGATTTCTGATTCTGAATGATTTTGAATGTACCCTTTCTGTTTTCCCATTACTGAAATACCAACAGGTATTTTAAGAGCTCAATTCCAGTTACTCAAGAAGAGAACATGGGGTAGCTAGGTGGGGCAGCTAGGTGGCGCAGCGGACAGAGCTCCGGCCTGGGAGTCAGGAGGACCCGAGTTCAAATCTGTCCTCAGACACTTGACACTTACTAGCTGTGTGACTCTGGGCAAGTAACTTAACCCCAATGCCTAGCCAAAAACAAGAAACAAAAAACAAAAAAGCAAAGAAGAGAATATAAAGTGTGGTAGTGGAAAGAGCATTTGAGTAGGAATCAAGTAAACTGTCCTTAGTCCCATCTCTTCCACTAATTAGCAAATTACTTCCCTCTCTCAAATGAGTTTCCTCATTTGTAAAATAACTAACTGGACTCTGGTTACTAAGGTTCCTCCTAGTGCTAAAATTCAACGATTCAGTGAAACCCAAATATGCCCCCTTCGAGAAAGAAGTGATTATATTCCAATAATGAATTAAAACAAAACAAAAAAGAAATCCAACTATTTAGATGGTGAGTTTTGGTGGAAGAGGATGGTTAGAGAATGAGCGTCTCTATCTGTGTGTATGCCCTCAGTGGGCAGCTATGGTGGGAAGGGGACTGAAGATAGTCTTAGCTTGTGTCTGTACTACCCTCCCCTTCCCTGGAAAGTGGGGTTTAAGGAATTAAGTGTGTTTGTCGTGGTCCGACTCAGCTTGGTGTTTCTTTAGGTTCAAATATCCAAGCTACCCTCTGGCAGCTTGGCCCCAGTGGACCCCGATTCCCCCCAAGGCATATACATTCATCACTGTTTGTAGAAAAGCACACTGAAGTCTGGTTGGATTTCTTGCCAGTCTGGGCCTGCTGTTCCCAAGATATCCACCAGAGGGTGCGCAGATATACTGGAAAGGGGTCAGGGCAGCTGCTGGCCTCCAGTCCTGCCAGCCTGGGATCCAAGTCAAACTATTCCTCCTGGGCTCCTGGTAAGGCTCAGTTGGGGGAACTTGGCAGTCCCAGGCTTTCTGAAGGACAAGACAGAAGATGGGATGCCTCCTCCCCCTGGGCAAACTGAGTGGGGGTGAGGTGGCTGGGAAGTCGGTGTCTCCTTGGGTCTGGCTTGCAATGGGATCTCTCTCCTCCCCCATCCCTCCAACCTGCCTGGGCCTCTCCTGGCTTCTGTCTGCTCTGAGGCACAGATGCAGTTTCTCAGGCAGCAGGCGTACAACGTTATCTGTTCTCCAAATTACAATGGAAAGTCCACTCGCTGGCTTTGGAAACAGGACCTGTGTTCAAATCCTGCCTCTTTAATAGTACCTCTGTTAATCTGCTCAAGTCCCATCAGCCCCTCATTTTTCCCACTTTGTCATTACCCACTTCAAGTTTCTCATCTGTAAATAAGGAATCGTACATAGAATGCCTGACGACCTTCAATGTGTCTTCTTCCTAACAACCCTATGTAAGCAGTGAAAATATTAACCCAAAGGCAGATGAGAAAAGTGACCTGCCCGGAACCCTGCTGGGGCATCTTAAGTAGACTGAAGGCAGGTCTGCTGACAAGCAGGCCACTCAAATGCGCTGCCTCTCCATCTTAGGGAGCACCAACCGTGTGCACAGGTCTAGGCACTTGGGCGCGGCAGAAGGGAGCAGCTTGAGTTTTAACCAGGGTGAGGCCAGTACATGGCAGCTCACCAGGCAGCTCTAGTACATACCTCTAGACAGGCGCCTGTCTCCTGGCCGGCATACTTTCTGGAGCTCTGACCCTTTAGGCAATTCTATTAATAACATTTACATGGTGCTTTACAGTTTGCAAAGTACTCTGGACCCCACTTGGTACTCACAGTAGCCCGGTGAAGTAGGTGCCACCATACCCATTTCACAGATGAGAAAACTGAGTCATTGAAATTGTCCTGCCCAATGCCGCAGAGCCAGAAAGTGTCTGGAGTTGATTCCAAACTCGCCTGGCCCCATGTCCAACATTCCATCTGCTGTGGGTCCAGTCCCTACACTACCCTGTGCACACCATCTTGCCCAGATCACTAGCCAGTGCTGCAGCCACTGGGACCCCTGGAAAGACCCCTGGCTTCTGCTGCCTTTGGCCCTCCCCCTCACCCCCTGTCCTGGGCTCAGTTCTTGACTGTGGGCTCTACCTGCACTGGTTCACCAAGGGGGTATTGACCAGGCAGGTCAACCCTTTGGAAAGGTGGGGCAAGACTCTGACGAGGTGGGGGGTGGGGCCTCCCCCGTGTACCTGCTGCTACATTCTGACATTCCAAAGAAGGGGAGGGATCAACTATAACTCAATCCCTGTAGCTTCTGTCTGATAATTAGAGGGATCTGGGTTTGGAGTGGGCACTGTCCCCTCCACCCCTTGGGGGTCCTGGGTGCCTGCTTTCTTTAAAGCAGTCCTCCTGGATTTGCAGCAGGGGTTAGGTAGGCCTGAGGTTCAGCTCCCATAACACAGGAGCAGCTGTAGCATAAGTAAAACCAACACAAACCCCACTGTATACGGAGCTGGACAGCTACAACCTGTCTGATCTCAGCAAGCCGGCTTATCTCCGGGCCTGTTTCTTCATCTACAAAATAAGAAGGTTGGACTGGATTAGTGGGGTCCAACTCCTACAGAAATGGGGGCCACTAAACCTTAGATAACTACCCCCAAGGATAACAGTGACTTAGAAAACCATATATTGGCATTGTTTTACTGCATTTTCATAGTCAAGTATTTCCCAATTATATTTAAATCTGGTTAGGGCTGTTCTTGGGAGTGTGGTGGGCCAAGGCCAGCAGCATCTTTAAGGCAAAGGGGTGGGACTACTTTTCCCTTTTGTTAGCTCATTAAAAAAAAAGAAAAACTCACAACAAATACTGGGCTTCCAAAGGTGATTTGCTCAGGTCAGCCACCACAGGAATGATCCCAGGTGCCTAAATCCCCTAGAGGGACAGCAGAATAATTTCTTCCCTCTTCAGAAGTGGGGCTAGCTCTTAGATAATTTTTATAAACCACTCAAGTGGCTGGAGAGATCACAGCACTAATGCCCACAATCCTTCCTTGAGGTGTGGTATTTCTGCCTGACTTAGGCCACTGTCCTTAGGGAGCTGTCTGTAATCTGGCTCTTGGGGCTGCCCAGTCCTGCAGAGGGCCACGAGGAGGGTTTAGGGATGCCAAATAAAAGGACGAATCACTGTGGCACAAATGACTTCACCTCAATATCTAGGGCCTCAAAGAGGGAGCAGGGCTAGGCTGCCTGGTTCAGGCAGCCCCAGAGGGTTAATCACAACGGTTCTTTAAGTGGCCAGGGGGACCTAAGCAGGGTCGTGAAGGCACCCATCCTTCAATCTCCCCTCCTGGCCCCTGCTCCTTCACCTGCAACCCCAACCTACCTCCTCACAGAAGCCAGTCTCAACCCAGCCCCCAATCTGTGTCTCAGTCCAACCTATGGTGTGTGGGTCCAGAGGTCAGGCAAGGAGATCTCCTCCACAGCCACTTCCTTCCCCAGCCTGTGTTGCCAGGGGAAGTAAATATAGAATAGGGAGACACAGTTGCCAGGCAGGATTGGAGATGACGTCTATATACTGCAGACAGACAGACAGACTCGGGAAGAGAAGCACACGCATCTGACATCCTTTGTGATGACAGAGAAACCGTGGGATTTCCAGGCCTACGAGGAAGCCTCTGATTGATCGTTTCTCTAGCTCCTCAGTAGGCCTGGGGAGCCTTCATTCTTCATGTTAATAGCAAGGCCTTTCAGAGGCCTGGCCCTGCCACTCCCTGGGGAGCTGTCTCTTGTTCACAACAGACTTGGAAGGTTGCAGAACACAGCAACAAATGAGTTAGGAGGCAATCTATCCATTTTTAATAAGCATTTCAAAAAAGCAGCAGTAAAAAAAAAACCTCAAACCTCATTTTATAGATGGGTGAACTGATCCAGTGGTCCCAACCTGAGAGTGGGAAGGGGCCTTTTTATTTCCTCCAGGGTTAACATGGCTCCTTCCTTTACCCTACCCTCATATGGTATGAACTTGAGGTCTTCACCATCCTAGCTGCCCTACTTTGGACACCCGGCAGCTCATCCCCAGCCTTTCTAAATGGAAATGTCCAGAACCAAGCACAACCTTCTAGATACAGGGCAACCAGGGCTGACTACAGTAGGATTTTCACCTCTCTACACCTAGACATGATGCTTCTCCACAGGCTTTTCTTGGCTGCTGGCTCAGAGAACGTTCAGTGCACGGAAGTGGACAGATCCTCTCTATGAGACTTGTCTTGCTGCACTTCACCCCCTACCCTTGTGGAATTGATGTCTCAAACCCCCAAAACTTGATGCTTATCCCTATGAAATTCTGTCTCATAATGATTCAGCCCAGTCTTACGGCCCGTCAAGATTTCTGACTCCTGCCACCCAGCATGTTAGCTCTCCTTCAAAGTTTGGTGTCATTTGCAAACCTGAGAACTACACCATCTATATAAGCCTGTAAGCCACTGAGGAAAAAAAAAAAACAAACCAGCTGACCATCACAGGACCAATGCCACAGGTCCCTGACAGATGCCCAGGGAGACCCAAATTAACATCACTCTTTAAGCACTGCTCTTTGGGTCTAGGCATTCAATCAGTTCCAAATCCATCTAATGGTCATCCTGTTATGCCACACATCTTTCCCTATTTTCCACAAGAATTGCACCAAAGTCTGTCAACTGCCTGGCTAAAACCTAGGTGAGCCAGAGTTACGGCATTGCTCTGATTTACCAAGGTGGTAACTTGAGTCTGGCTTGACTTGTCCTTAATGAAAACACACTGGCTCTCTGCGGTCACAGATCCCAGACTTCTCTTGTCGACGTGCTTTAACTATTCCTTTAAGAAGGCTGCAGAATTCTGCCAGGGATCCAGGTCCAGCCCACTGGCCCACAGCCGGGAGACTCCACATTCAACAATCAGGACGCTTCTCCTCCTCCAATCCTGAAGCACCTTTTCATTCCTCACACTCTTTCAAAGATTGTACAGTGCCACCTGCCAGTTCAGAACCCGAGCTTAGAGTCCCACCCAGCCTGCCCAATCGTGCTACTCGACCCCATCAAGGGCAGCCACCCGCCTGGCTTTGTGGCTCTATCCTTACTATCCAAAGCTCATTCCCTTTGGCAGAGAAAGCAGAAATACAGCTCAGCCCTCCCCTCGTGCCCATCTTTAAAACAATCTGGTTCACAGTGACGCTAAGTGACGCTAAGAGCTGAAGTATGCTGTGCTCCCAGATGTGAGGGCTGGTTTCTATCCCCATTTTGCAGGGGCTGAGGCAAGGTCCAAGGGGGTTTGCCACGGGCACACAGGCAGGACTGGAGAATTGAGAGTTGGAGGATAATATGGTTGCTTAAAACTCTCCTCATTTTGCAGATGAGGAGACCGAAGTCAAGTGGCTCACCCAATAGCTAATTAGTGGGCGAGCTAAGATCTGAAGCCGGGTCTTCTGACTCCAAACACAGCGCTCTATCAGACCCCCCGGGTTCAACAGCTGGGGCGCAAGTGTAGCTTACTAGCAAATCAAAATTACTGATATTCTCCCTCAGAAGAGAAGGCGGGCTCTTTGATACTGCCATCCCCTCCACATGCCTTCCCTTTGCCAGAACTTGGAACTGATGTATATTCAAAATATTGGCTGCATTTACCTAAGTCTCGCCTTCTCTATTTTTAATTTTAAAGATATTTGGGTAATGGAACTTCATATATCTTATTCAAAAAGCCTCTTGCAGATAACACGTTTTGGGGTAGGGAAGAGTGAAAGGGATCATCCACCTGATACAGGGCCATAGATAGGGGAGGAAGGCTCATAGACTTCAGCAGCACCATCTGCAGCTAGAGGCATTAGCCTAAGTCTTGAACAATGCTATTGGAGTGACAGGGTCAGGGAGGAGATGCAGAGTCACAACGATGAGGGCCCACAACCTGCCACCTCAGGCTCACCAGAAACTTTCTGTTTCTTGTACTGTAGGAGGGCTCTATCTTCTCTGTCCTCTCTCTCTGTAAGCCCCCACTGAAGCTATCACGACTCACTGCATAAGATGCAAACTGTTCATAAGCAAAAGGGAGGAATGCAGGAGATCCATCCAAGGTCGCCCAAGGGAGGCCAGCCAATCGCCCTTCGGGCCAGGCCATCTAGCGTCCCTCACCTTCATCCCCCCTTGTCCCTCTGCACCAACCTCTCCCCAGATGGGACAAGATCCCTTGCCTCCATTCAACACATATTGCAGCTTTGGTTACTGGGCCCCCAATTTTTCACCACTAGACCAGATGGTCCCAAGCCTGCAAGAAAGGGCCAGCCGAGACGCTAAAAAAAAGACTGTGAATATGAGTATTTTTCCTCTGAACCTGATAGGGTACATGTATCAATCACCTATCGACCATCAGAACAATCCAAGGCTCAATGGGGAGGCCATGAGATTAAGAGAGGAAGGCAAAAGCCTGAAGCATCTCTATTTCTCAGCATCACAAGCAAAACTACATTAAAATAAAATCACACCAAGCATCTTTTATTGAACATTATTTTAATACCATATCAAAACACCTTGACTAATGAAGAAAGCTTTTCCCCCAAGCTTTGAACAATTTTTTAAACGTTTTAAGTTTTTTCTTTTTAATATATAAATACATAAACCTATCCTGCATGGGCCGATGCCACGTGTGAACGTTGATGGCTAAAATGTTCTCAGAGTGCCTGAAAACAGGGGTGTGGCTGTACCTCTTTTCCTTTTTTTTTTTTAATAAATTTTTAAAAGTTTTTTGAAAAAAAAAGAGAAAATATCCACAAGGGTCTAAGAAAAATGTTCAGGCATCTTTGCAGGACACTTGTGATTTTTAGATCCTCTGAACTGTACTGAAGACCAAAACTGGGTGAGGAAGGAGGAGAAGAAATGGAGATGGACGAGGAAGAGAAAACAGGAGGAAAGGTCTTGGAAGTGTTGTCTTTTGGCAATTAGGAGTCATGACACCAAGTGGAGTCTAGAAGCGAGAGGAGGAAAGTGCAAAACCAAAACTGAAGATGGGCATAAAGCGGGCTGGGAGTGAGGCCGGAGTGGGAAGTGGGGAGGGGAAGGAAGGAGAAGACGGGGAGAGTATACTGGCTGGGAGGACTTGGAAGGGTTCAGTCACGCAAAAACAGGAATCTTGTAAACATCACCAGGAAAAACACCAGTGGACACTAGACTTGTTTGTTTGTAAACACATTAAAGACAGACCCACAATGCCTTTCAAAGGTCAAAGAAAATGCCCTTTCCCTCCTGGGATGGGGGTGGGGGGTGGGAGTGTTGGGGAGAGGACCGCCGTAGTTTCTTCTTTCAATTCATCCTCATCTGATTTGGTGTCCTCAAGGGAGAAGGGGGAAACAACTCTCTCAACGTCAGTGCAGAAGGTGTCCCGTCCCCAGAGATCCCAAGCTCGGTCTCGTGCCTGGGAAGCCTTGTCTCGGGGACCGGGGCCTGTCCTTTTGTGGACCATAATAAATAAGTCGTGCTCCGTCTGGCCAGAGGCCCAGGGGCCCAGTGTGTCATGCCTGCTGTTGGTGTCTGGGGGAGCCCCCTGAAGCCAAACATCATGACAGGATTTCAGCATCGCAATCCAGCACAAGCTCCTCTCCTGTTCTCTCCCCGTGTCATCAATGTTTGAGGTGAAGGTAAAAATAGCAGATGTCCCTGATTGGTCTGACATCATCTGTTCTAGGGGTTTAGTTGAAATAAATAAAATAAAATAAAACAAAAACTAACCAAAAACGATGAAGAAAATAAAAACCCGATTGAGGTGCTGGAGTTGATTAGAGGGTATTGGCAGGTTTCTTTACAAAACAAAACACCAGCCCAGAACTTTGAAGGGACAGGTGGGATGGGGGAGAGGATGGTCAGCAGTAAAGCAAGGTGCCCTGGGAAAGAAAATGACAGATCAAACCCCTAAGTCCACACATGGGAAGGGCAACAGGGTGGGGAAACAGCCACTGGTGACCGTCCAATGAAGAAAATCAAGAACCTCGCTGGGGGGCTGGGGGCGGCCCTTGGGTTTAGCCCTTGGGACTCCCTGGGAGAGCCCACTTAAATTAGAGGGGCACATCGGACTCCCCAGGGCAGTCTATGAGGCAGGGTTTTCTCTGGGAGAAGCCCCTCCAACACCAAGCCTAAGCAGGAAGCCAAAAGGGTTCAGGGCCCCCCAGCCCAGGTCTGTAACAGTTAGTATCCGTTCCCCTCTCTGCTACTGCTTCTCACTTCCCTGCCCCAATTGTTTCTAGAATTACGCTCAAAGAGATGCAGTGGCTCGAGAGTTGGCTTTGGAACAAGGCAGACCTGGGTTCAAATCCTATCTCTGACACTTAGCGGTTGTTGTGTCTATGGACAGGTCACTGAATCTCTCAGCAGTGCCCTCTCTCAATGTTTTAAGTGACAGAGAAGCTACCATTGGTTATGGCAGAGGGAGTTCCCTCATCTAGAAAAAAAAACCACAGGTCCAGTTCATTTCCTTAGTCAGGTACCCATCAGTCAGCCTCCTTTACCCCCCTTCTACATAAAAGCATTTTCCTTCTGTGAAGCTGTCATTTTGTATTCTGTTCCCACCCCCTTCCTAGGGCTTGGTGCGCTAAGAATAATGTGGCCTCCTGCCCCCGCCTGAAGCAAGAAGGCTGCCAAGGATCCCCCCCTACCCCGAGGGAGGCCTGGCCCCAGCAGGGCTCTCCTGCAGCCGCTCACCTTTGAGAGGAGTCAGCAAGCATGCCTGATGGTCAATCGGAAGGATGCTCTGGACAGGATCTGTTCACTTCAAACCAAGAATCTATACAGCTGAGGCAGAGAGAGAGCACACGAGAACACCAGTCACCGGGGGGGCCACCAGCCTCTCACCACATTCACATTTCAAAGGATAGGATTCCCAAACAGGTTAAAAAGGACTGATCTTTAGACCTCAAACCCCCAAGAAATAAGACCACACAAGTCTGACGACACAGGACCCTGCGGACAAATTCAAGGACTATGCTGACCTATCACTCAAGCTGTACTGGACGTACTGAGACTGAGCTGGCTCTGCCACTGGCAAGCTGCTTGGCTTCTGGGCCCATTTTTATAGATTTAAAATGAGTCCAGATGATTCCCAAGAACCATCCTTTCAGCCGAGAAGTTCTATGATTTATGAGCCCAGGAGGAGGGGGGCCTCTGCTCGGAAACGGTCCTCCCAGACGTGGTGAAGGGCAGACAACCAGAGATGGAGAGAAGCACATGGCTAAATCCGGGCCAGGGGCACCAAGCCTTCAGAGCAGGGAAGGCGTACTGGCAAGGGAAGAAAGGGTTGGCCAGCTTTTGTCTTTCTTGGGTCAGTGAAATATAGGCTTCCTAGCCTATACATAGCCTGTATATAGGGAGAGGATCTCAAGGCTCACAAACAAGTCTGTCTATGGGGAAAACCACTGGAGCTGCAGCTGGCTTGGTTGGGGGCCTGTCCTGCTGCAGGAGGAGGAGGAGGAAAAGGGAAGAAGCTGCTACCTCCTGACAGCACCAAGGAAGAGACCTGGGGAGAGGGTGAAAATGTGCGAACGTGTGAACCCCATCGGGTAATACAAGGGTAGAACCACATGAGAGAATTATAACTGTTCTCCTCAGGACAGTTCTCTGATTTGCAAATCACAGACTAGGGATATCTAAAGAGAGGGACCAGATAATTTGCTTATGTTCTTTCCCGGGGCCAAATGTTTTCTTACCCTGATCCTGTTTCCTTCAAAGGCTCCCCAGGGCCCTACTATACCAAGTCTCTGAGTCAGTGACTTACATCAGGTCATCCTGGCCCAGCGCCTGCTTGCTAATAGCCTTGCCACTTCCCAGTGACTCGGTGGATTTGATGGGCGGGGCTTTGGAAAACCACATTAGCCAAGGAGCTGGCTATGACTGCAAGTGGGAGGGAAGGTGAGGGAGGGAGGGGTTTGCTGGGGGAGAACAGGTGCTGTCCCACTGAAGGTACACAATGTCTCTTTAGCAGAGAACATGGAGTCATCAGGGAAGAAGTGTCTTCTTTCCACTTGGAAACAAGATTGAGGTGCTGTGGTAGAGGAAGAGTATATGCAGGAGAAGCCTCAGCAATGCTAAATATGGCAGCTTTCAGTGCCACAGCTAAACAGGTAGTGCCCGCCTCTGAAATGAGGCTGCTGGGCACCTGCCCAGCCCTCGCCCGCTCAGCCCCATTATGCCCCAATTCAGTAAGGAGGAGGACACGGCTAAGAAGGGTGATGAGCGAATCCTGCAGCTGGGACAGAGAGTGTGACGAGCGTGGGGGACGAGGCACAGCTCTCTATGTGAATGTGCCTGTCTAGGGAAGGAAAGCCAGAGCTGAACCCCAGCCAAAGGCACCCCCCCACCCGCCCCCCCAGTCCTGCTCCAGCCCTCCCCTCTTCTGCCCGGCCTGCCAGACGCCTGTGTGACAGTGACAGCAGTCTTCTGTGGGGGCAGTCTGGCAGGGCCTGTCCTTTTGATCTGCCCAACATGCCACCGTTCCTCTAAGGTGACACCATTATGGGGACGGGGAACCTTCCTTCAGAGCACTGTGAAGGACGCAGGGAGCCCCTCCCTCAACCTTCCTGTACCTTTTGTGATAGATGCAGAGGCAGGGCAGCCTCGCTATAGTGTCTCCCTGAAGCAGCTCCTCCAGGCAGATAACGCATTCTCCTGTATCTTTAGTCAGCACATCATCTGTGAAGGGGATGAGAGAGAGCACAGGCAGCATTAGGCATCACACAGGTGTGTGCAAAGCATCTCTGACGTACAACATCCCACTAACGGGGGTAGAGGGCAGAGCTTCGGGTGAGTGAGACATTTAGGAGTGTGTTTTACTGGGGAAACAAGACCTAACAGATACAGGATGGCAACTTGAAGGGAAAGAAAAGTTAAAAAAACAACAAAAAGCAACAGATGATTAAGTGCCAAATGAGTGGTACTAACAATAGAAGTCACCGTGGGTTGTGATGGTGAGGGTAATATTCATAGAAGGGGTAGAACCTGAATTAGTTTTTGAAAAACAGAGAGGAGAGAGAGCTAGACAGAGAGTAGAGCTGATTCCCTACCCACAGGAACCAAAGTCAGCGCAAGCTCTCAGGAAGGATGCTCTTCTTGTCAAGCCTCATTAAAAAGTCGGTTTGTTGGCCGACGCCATGCTTGGAGCTCTACTGATCCAGGGGCCTAACCTACTGCAGTAGGCTTAGAGGGTGGGATGTAAAGACTCTTGCAGATGTCATCTGTCTCATGGAGAGATGGCTTTGCATGCCTTGAGCCTCAGTCAAACCAGGGTGCATGGGCTACTGACGTGATATGAGAAAACACTGCTGGATTGTTGGCCACTGTAAGATCTCGGAGCTGACTGGGTACATTACACATTCAGGGCATCCCATTTCAGCTGGGCCCTGGCTGCAGTAAGGAGGTCCTTTTACTCCTCCCTGATTGACTGAGACAGGTCTCATTCCACACACAAGCTGTTCTAAGACTCTCTTCCTCCTCAAGTCTCCCCCTTCCTCCTTACACTGAAGACTCCACTCAGTCTGACCTCCCTCTGCTTCCATTCTCTGCATCTTCCCTTGATATCATCTCTCACACTCTCCTTTTGTCCCTCAGTCTCTGACAAAGAGGCAGTCTTTCTCCTTGCCAGGGTAGATGCCCTCTACATTAGATCAGTTGACTAGCACTCATTAAACCCCTCCTCTGTGCCAGGCGCTGTGCTAATCACTGAGGATTTAAAAAAAAAAAAGGCAAAAAATAATTCTGCTCCTAAGGAGCTCCCAGTCAAACGGGGGAGGCCACATGCAAACAACCATTTTCAAGAAGATATAGGCAGGACAAACTGGAGGCTCTATTCTGATTCTATCAGAAGGAAGGCACTGGAATTAAGGAGGAAAAGGAAAGACTTCTTGAAGAAGAGAGGATTTAGCTGAGACCAAGCATGGGGGACGGCCAGGGGAAATACAAAGCCCTGGGGACTGTAGAGTATGTGTCGGGGAGAAAGGGCTCAGGTTATAAAGGGCTCTAGAAGCCAGACAGAGGATTTTACATTTGACCCTGGAGGTTCCTGGAGGTAAGAGGGAGCTAATGAAGACCTGCCCATTAGGAAGACCAATCTGACAGCTGAGGGCAGGAAGCCAACGGGAGGTGATGGGGGAGGGCAGCGTCAGAGAGGCCACCTCCTCTCCTCCTGTCTTCTCTAGCAGATCTGCATTCTCAATCTCCCTCCTCTCTCTCGCGAATCTTCAGCCTTCAAACTCTACCATTTACTGCCTTTAAACCTGTCCAAGGCTCCCACTCCTGAAACAAATCTTCAGTAGACTCTAATATCTTCTCAAGCTAACATCCTAAATTTCTCCTCCTTTTCTCAAACTCCTTGAACAAAACCTGCTTAGCTTTGCAGTCTCCACTTCCTCTCCTCTCACTCACTCTTGCAATCTGGCTCCCAACCACCTCATTCAATCCAAACTGCTCTCTCCAAAGTGAACGATCTTTTAATTACTATTTGTGAAGGTGCCTTCTCAGGACTCCTCTTGCTCAACTTACTGCTGACCACCCTGTCCTCATGCAGCCTTTCTTCTCTCTGGGTTTTCATGACACTCCTGTCTCCTGGTCTGCTCTCTCTCTGATCACCTCTCAGTCTCCTCTGATGGCTCATCAAGATTAAAGAGTTGAGTGTCAAAGAACACTGGGCCTGGAGTCAGGAAGACCCAAGTTCAAATCTGGCCTCAGACACTTAACTGTGTGAGCCTGGCCAAGCTACTTAACCTCTATCTGCCTCAGTTTCCTTATCTGCCAAATGAGGATAATAATAGTAAAGTGCTTAGCACAGTGCCTGGCACAAAGTAAGTGCTCTATAAATGTTAGCCAATATCAATAATCATAATGTCACACTTCCTAACAGTGAGTGTTCCTCAAGGTTCAGCCCTAGGTCCTCTCAGTTTCCATGTGCTTAAAATCTGTCCTTAGTCTCTTCAATGAGTTTCAGGCCCACATCGCCAAAGACCCGTACTGGATATTTCAAACTGGATATATTGGAGAAAACTTAAACCCAACAAGTCTAAAACTGAACTCATCACCTTTCCCTCAAAACTTGTTTCTGTCAAAGCTACCACCATTCTTCCAGTGTCCCAGTTTCATAACTTCAGCCTTATCCTTGACTCCTCACTTGCCCTCACTCCTTGTTATCAATAGCCAAATCTTGGCTTCTCTTCCTTCACAACATCTCTTACATTGGACTTCTCCCCCCTCCTCCCCAATACACTCCTACTGCCTGAGGGCCAGGCCCTGAACCTCCTCCTATGGGCTTCTCCTCACCTCCACTCTTCTGCCACTCATGTTACCCATCCTAATCAGCCAACTCCAAGGTTTACTATTGCCTCTAGAGTGGGATAAAACAGAAACTCCTCTGTTTAGCTTTTAAAGGCCTTTGCATCCCACCTATATTTCTACCTTCCACAGATATTACCTCCCTCCTATGCTCTGCAATCCAGCCAGATTGCCTTTTCTCTGTTTTTCACATGTCCTACTCCATCTCCCATCTCTACACCTTTGTACTGGTCATCCTCCAGGCCTAGGGTGCTCTCTCTCCTCACCCTTGTCTCAAGGAATCCTTCTCTTTAAGATGCAGCTCAAGCTTCCTCTTCTGCAGGAAGACTTTCCGGATCCCTCCCAACTACCTTGTGTACACACACACACACACACACACACACACACACACACACACACACACACATCACACCAAACATTTGATAAGAAATGAAATAAGCCCGTCCCTTAAGCCAATTCCTTTAAATGATTGCCCATGCCTCAAACGGAGCTGGAGAGGGACTGCTAAGTTCTACCTTGATAATGATACTCCTTCATATGTATAGATATGCTTTTTGGATTTGAAGAGTACTTTTATACTCATCCCACCTGAGCCTCACAAGCATCCTGTGAGGTAAGCAGAGCAGATTTCTACTACTGGACATACAAAGATACTGACTCAGAAAGCATGACTAGCTTAGAACCAGAAGCAGAACCCTTTCTGGCAGGGCACTTTCCATTACAGTCCCCTAATTATTTTGATGGAAGATGTATATAAAAGGAGTATGTATGAAGATCACATAGAATGGTGATATTGCCTGGCCTAGAACATGGTCTACAGAGGAAACACAGCATAAGCTCCAACCCTGAATCACATGGGCTCCACAGGATCATGAGAGAATCATGAGAGAACATAGTTAATAAGCATTTATTGAGTTCGGACTGTGCGCCAAGTACCTAGTTAAGCAGCAGGGATACAAAAAGGCAAAAGAGTCTCTACCCTCAAACGGCTCAAAAGCAGAATGGGGAACAATAAGCAACCATATGTACAAACAAGTTCTGTGCAGGATAAATAGGAAATAAAAGAGGGAAAGGCACTAAGGTGTTGGGAGAAGCTTCCAGTAAAAGATGGGATTTTAGCTGGGCCTTAAAGGAAGCCAAGAGCAAGCACTGCAGGCATGGGGGATGGCCAGAGAAAATACCCAGAGCTCACCGGGAGCGGCAGCCGGCATCAGCGGATCAAAGGTATAGGGGAGGAAGGTGTAAGGACCCTGGAAAGGCAGTGGGGAGTGGGGAGCTAGTTATGAAGAGATCCGAATGCCAAACAGAGGATTCAGGGAATAGAGAAGGCTCATGTCTGATCCCTGACTCACTGGGACATGCATCAAGTGGTCATCCATCTGCCTGGCTCCACATCAAGCTAACTGAAGAAAGTCCACTGAAAATGAGACAATGAGCAATCAATTCCACCAGAAAGGGCAGAGGGCACATTGCTTAGAAGCGGAGCAAGATCATAGCTTTTATCATACTGCAAACAGTTAGGAAGCAGCCACTTCCTCCCTCCCTTCTCCTCTCTCCTTCTCTGAATCTGAAAAATAAAAGGCCTAGAGGATCACTATAAAGCTCCTTAAGGCCTGGAGCTCTCAAACTTTCTCACCTAACATTTCAGGATACCAGACAATATTAGTAACTACCTTTTCTAAGTTAGTTACTCTTCTCTTTAGTTGTGGTTGTTGAGTCATTTCAGTCACGCCCCGACTCTTTGTGACCTCATTTGAGGTTTTCTTGGCAAAGATACTGGAGTGGTTTGCCATTTTCTTCTCCAGCCCAATTTACAGATGAGGAAACTGAGGCAAACAGGGTGAAGTGACTTGCCCAGGGTCACAGTTGGTAAGTGTCTGAGGCCAGGAAGATAAGCCTTCCTGATTTTAGGCCTGGCACTCTGTCCACTGCATCACCGAGCTGCCCCTTCTCTTTGGGAATACTGGTCAAACTCAAAGGAGGAAGAGGGAAGAGGAGAGAAGGTGAAGAAAGAGGTGATGGAGGTTCCACTTTCCTAGGCTACTCTAATATCAGCTGAAAGACTTATTCAAGCACCCTGGAGGCTGGCGCTGGCTTCTTCGGAAGGGGTGGGTACATCCTGTTCCTCATTCTGCCCCGAGGCCAGCTCTCCCGACTGGCTTCTACCGCCATTTCATGCGAGGTTCTAGCCAAGTTCCCTTTATGAATTGCTTGGACCCCTCCCCCACCACAATGGTTCTGCCTCCTCAGCAGTCTTGCCTACATGGGCACTCCCCTCTGCTCCTCCCCATGTGTTGTCTTCTCCTATTAGAACTAAGTTCCTTGAGGACAGACTGTCTTGTTTGATAGTACTTGTTCTGTGTCACTGAGCA